CTCCAGGTATTCCTCAGAGCTGGATCCACCTGTGGGATGAGCACCTTTCTCCAGGTGCTCCTCAGAGCTGGGTCCACCTGTGGGGAGAGAAGCAGGATCTACCAGTGAGGAGATCACCTTCCTCCAGGTGCTCCAGGTATTCCTCAGAGATGGATCCACCTGTGGGATGAGCACCTTTCTCCAGGTGCTCCTCAGAGCTGGGTCCACCTGTGGGGAGAGGAGCAGGATCCACCAGTGAGGAGATCACCTTCCCCCAGGTACTCCAGGTGCTCCTTGGAGCTGGATCCACCTGTGAGGAGAGCACCTTCCTCCTGCTCCTTGGAGCTGGATCCACCTGTGAGGAGAGCACCTTCCTCCTGCTCCTTGGAGCTGGATGCACCCATGGGGAGAGGATCAGGATCCACCTGTGGGGAATGAACCTTCCTCCAGGTGCTCCTCGGCTCTGGGAGTGAAGCCCCGCCGGGAAGGGGCCGTGGTTTGTGTTTTCCCCGCTGCCTGCAGGGAGGGATCGCAGCCGGGCCCTTCCCCCAGCCCGGCCCGCAGGAATTCTGCAGCAGCTGGAATTTCTGCCTTCTGCTGCTCCCAGCGCGTCTCCTTCCCCCAAGGTCAAGGCTGAGGGCTCCTGGCGCCGGGGCTCCTTCCCGGCCGCTGTTCCGGGGGATGCTGAGCAGCCGGGAAGGGCAGGGGGGACACGAGGCTCATGGAGAGCTGGGGGGAGGATGGGAAGCCTGGAGGAAAAGGGTTTGACAGCTGGAAAATGGGAAATCAGTCCTGTGAAGCCCAGGGGAAAATACGCTTTAGCTGGGCTCCGTGGGCTTTGGAGCTGTGACAGGATTGAAAAAAAGGAATGGCGAGTTTTGGGAGATGCTGAAAAATGCTGATTTAGGCGAGGGATTTGCTTTCAACTCCTCCCTTTTCCAGTTCAATTCCCATAGCCCCCACGGGCCTTGCCTTGCCTGGCTCTGTGGCACCACCGGTGATGCTGTCACCATATCTCAGCATCCTCTTTTGGGGTGGAACAGGGCAGAATTCCTGCCCCAACCCTCTTCCCCCACTCCCTGATCCCCTTTAACTGGGAAAAGGAGCAGCCCAAGGTGGGACTGCTCCTCTCCCAGGCAGTTTGTTCTCAGGGCTACTCACAGGATACACAATGTTGGAGGCCACCATCCTGTTGTGTCTGGGCTTTGCAGAGGAAATCCCGGCAAGTGGCCCCAGATGGGACTGGGGAGTCCAGGCCGAGGCCTCACCGAGGATCTTTGGCCATTTTGAACTGCAAATAAACAGTGAAAAATCTTAATCTTAAGTGAAAAAAATCTTAATCTTATGTGAAAAATCTTAATCTTTAAGTTATGCAACTCCAAATTGTGTTTAAAGCTGCGCATTTCATCTCTCACCGTTTCTGCCTAGTACGGGGAAAAAACATTAATTTAGGTTAATTTAAGCTGAAGGAGGGGAGATTTAGATGAGATTTTAGGAAGAAATCCTTCCCTGTGAGGTTGGCCAGAGCAGCTGTGGCTGCCTCTGGATCCCTGGCAGTGTCCAGGGCCAGGTTGGACAGGGCTTGGAGCACCCTGGGGTAGTGGAAGGTGTCTCTGCCCGTGTGGAATGAGATTAACTTCAAGGTCCTTCCCAACCCAAACCATTCTGTGACTTCCATGATAAATTTGGGGACGGAATCGTCTCCTGGATTTCCCCTTGTACCTCCCCTACACCACCTCTGGGCTGTGCTGGGTGTCATTCCTGCGGCACAAATACCATTCATGGCACAGTAAAGATGGAAAAACAGGAGCAGAAATTCACTTTCAGGGATTCAGATTCCCATAAGGACATGAAGGGAGCACAGCAGATGCCAGGAGGACGCAGCTCCCCCATCCTGGGCTCTTTAAACCAGCCCAGAGCACAGCAAGGCAGGGGTTAAGCTTTTCCTTCCTGGATAAGGAGCACGAACAGTCCCTGGCTGCGGACACCTTTGTAAAGAGCACCCTCCTCCCATCTCCAGCCTCTTCCCATGCTCTGGGAGCTCATCCCACATTGTCAGGGAGCTCATCCTGCTTTTCCCGGGGAGTTCATCCCGCCTTTCCCGGGGAGTTTATCCAACTTTTCCTGCCAACTCATCCTGCTATTCCTGGGGAGCTCATCCTGCTTTTCTCGGAGCTCATCCTACCGTTCCCGGGGAGCTCATCCCGGGGACCTCATCCCACTTTTCCTGGGAGCTCAATCCCGCCTTTCCCAGGGAGTTCATCCCGCTTTTCCTGGCAACTCATCCTGCCACTCCTGGGGAGTTCACCCCACCTTTCCCGGGAGCTCATCCCGGGGAGTTCATCCCTCTTTTCCCAGGAGCTCATCCCACTTTTCCCAGGAACTTGTTATAAATTAAAATTTGCCCAGCCAAATTAAAATGAAAAAATGAAATATTTATTTTGCAATCAAATTCTATCTAGCCAGCCACAAAGAAAGAACAGAGCCGAGCCCAGGGTCAGCACCAGAAGTCAGACTCAGCAGAGGTTTTCCTCTATGCCCACACACCTCCATCCTAGCACGAGTGGTTTTTATAGGGAAAATTCCACCTGAGGCCAAGATTTTGGCAGTCAGTCTTTTCTTCCCTTCAGAGTCCATAGGTTAATGAGATTTTCTTTTTTGGTGATGAAGAAGAACAATTCAGTGTCCGGAGTTGTTGAATCTCTTGATGATTTACAAGAACACTGCATTCACATGTATGTGCCCAAGGATTTCCATGATATCCACCCCGGGTCCATGATATCCATCCCACATCCATGATATCCATCTTGGGTCCGTGATATCCATCATCCCGGGTCCATGATATCCATCCCAGATCCATGATATCCATCCCGCATCCATGATATCCATCTTGGGTCCATGATATCCATCGTCCCGGGTCTATGATATCCATCCCAGATCCATGATATCCATCTCAGGTCCATGAGATCCATCCCAGGTCCATGATATCCATCTCGGGTCCATGATATCCATCCCAGGTCCATGAGATCCATCCCAGGTCCATGATATCCATCTCGGGTCCATGATATCCATCCCAGGTCCATGAGATCCATCATCCCAGGTCCATGATATCCATCCCAGATCCATGATGTCCATCTCAGGTCCATGAGATCCATCCCAGGTCCATGATATCCATCTGAGGCCATTCACAAAACGATCAGCGCCTGGGTCCCCGCATCACTCCAGCCATGGACCATCCCCATCTCCTGGCCGAGCCACATCCTTTGACTTGTAAATCAGGTTTCAATATACACCAGGTCTCGCCTGCGAGGGTGGAGGCAACTCCTAATACAAACGTGTATATTCCAACAAATATTCAATATCACACATATCATATTCGAAATTGCGCAAATTATATCTACTACACATAACAAGCTCATCCTGCCTTTCCCGGGAACTCATCCCGCTTTTCCCGGGAACTCATCCCGCCTTTCCCGGGAGCTCATCCCGCCTTTCCCAGGACCTGATCCCGCCGTCCCCAGCCCTGCTCCAGCCCGTGGGATCTGCCACCCCTGCAGGGAGGTTTGGGTTTGGCTGCTGGGCTGCCCTGCAGCATCACCGCTGGGATATTTGGGATTCTGTGGGAGGTGAGGGATGGGCTGCACTCATCCCACACTCATGGAATGGGTGGGCAAGAAGAAAACGCCACAGGCTTTGTGCGAGTCCCCAGCGCGATTCGAGTTTGATGTAATCGCCTCAGACTGAGTGGAAATTCTCTGCCAGGAATCTTTCACCGGAGCAATTAGCAGAGCATTTTAAAGAACAAATGCGATTGGAATCTCGGGATTCATTTGTGGATGAGGCTGAGGGTGAGTTCCTGAATGGGTTCTTCGTTTTCCATCACTTTTTTAGGTTCAGCCGGTACACTTTGAGAGCAAGTGCTGTTCCCTCAGTGCAGTGACAGTTCTTAAAGTGAGTTTTTTGAAATCCAGAGAAACCCCAGAGAGGATTTCTGGGCTGCTGCTCCCCACCCCCCTGCCAGTGCTATTTCCTGCTCGCTTTAAGGGATCAGATGACCCAGGACACTCTTGGGGCAGCTCTTCCCCGAGGGTGCTGCCAAAGGATAAAGGATTCCCATTGATCCTGAGCTCCTTTCCGCAGGTACCAGATAAATCCAAGCTGGGAAAACCCCCGGGAATGCAGTGTGGAGCAGGAGCTGATGGGGTTAATCCATGCTGTGAAAAATGCCAATCACCTGGTTTTTAAAATTTTAAAAGTTTAATATTAATTAAATGGCTATAAAAATAATAATACAATGAGAGTAATAAAGTTTAGAGTTAGGACAATTACAAGACAATAAAAAGCAAAGAATTACGGATGTCCGGGTGCTCTTGGACACTAAAGTCACGAAAAGCATCCCTTGTGAACAAAGGAATGACCTTAAAAGCAATAGCCTGTTGCATATTCATATTCATATATCTCATACATGATGCATAAATTCCTTGCAAATTAAGAACTTTTATGGTTTTTGTCAACTTCTCCTTAATCCTGTTGGTTCCACAAAGACGGAGAGAAGGTGGAAGAATGTTTGTTTTTTCTGATAAGGAGGTGTAACTTTTTATGGGCCCCCTTTGCTGACATCTCTGTGTGAAGAGTTTCTTGATTATTTCATCTTCCTGCTTGAGCTTGTAACAAATCCTATATCACAGAGTTTCTATTTTAATATTATGTTGTACCCTAAAACTAACACACTACGTAAGAGAATTAATACAGCATCACTTTCTAACATTATGCATATAATATTAATTGTAATGTTTGTGAAAAGCCAATCATAAAATATGCATTTTTCACACATGCTCAAAGCCTCCCCATCCTTTTCTCCTCTTTCCCTCTCCTTCCATCCCACTCCTGCCTTCTCCAGGACCCTTTTCCCTCATCCCTGTGTCTGTGTGGAGTCCTTCTCCTCCATCCCTGGGCTGATCCTGCTCTGTCCCGCAGGGGCGATGCCGGCGCTGGGGCCGAGCCCGCGCTGAGCCCGCGGCGCTGGCCTGGCACTGCCCACCCCTGCCAGCCTCGGGAGAGCTCGGAGCGGCCCAGGATGCCTGCGGAGGGACCCGGGACTCCTCTCTGGACATAAGGGGGTGGCCGAGGGAGAGACATGTGGGGACAGCGCCCTGCCAGCCGGCACAGATCTCCCTGCTCCGACACGAGCGGCGCTGACCATGGCCACAGCTTGGAGGTTCCTCACCTGGACCGTCACCCTCAGCCTGGCCGGGGGCACCTTCCCCGGCTTCCCCTTCCAGTCACAAGGTAGGGATGTTATGGTTTGACACTGGCACAATGCTAGTGCCTTTATGGAAATGTAATTTTTAAATTGAATGTTGTGAAATGCAATTGGGAATAGAGTAAAACAGGCTTAAGTTTAATAACAGGGGAAAAAAAACTTTATTAAGCTACTACTATAAAAGAAAAAAAAAGGAAGAAAAAATATACACAAAGATTAAAATGAAAACTTTGTGAAGTATTTTTCTTCCTACTACTTAACTCTAATAAATTGCAGTGAGACACAATTTGGACTTTAATTAGGTTTTTACTTTTTAGATAATTGATACTTAATTTATTGAGGGAGAGAAGAGTTTTTCTTGTGTTATAGACTTCTTAAGAAATATAGTTGTTATATCTTGTGCTCTTATGTTACACATGGCACTGGAGAAAAAGTTTGCTATTTCTGTGTCAAACCACGACAGGATGGATGGGATGGGACGGGATGGGATGGTGTCGCCCTGATTCTTAAGATTTTTCTAAAGCCTTCTAAGTTTACATTCTATTAGAAAACTTTCTCACACAACTTTCTGTAAACAACCTATTATTTTACATTCCTTCACAGGGGTGAAGGAACTTGATATATTAGTAGTTTATCCAATGTCTTTGCAGAGGTGGCACATTCACTCGCCAATCCACTGTCACCTTTAAAAAAGTATAAATGCTAAGGTCAAAAAATAAACATACTTCTTTTCACCTTACAAATAACAGTTAGCTCACGTCGTGCTTTCACGTGTCCTGTAATAACAGGATGGTGTCGTGGGTTTGGTTGTGTCCAGAGTGACATCCCTGAGGAGATGCAGTGTCCAGCCCCACAACACCACCAGCTTCCCACACCTCACCCTCGGCTCTGGACACATTTTTTTCCTCCTGGAAGTGCCTTTCAGGTCAGGATCAGAGCCTCCAGCCCCGAGTTCCAGGTGCTTTGTAGCCACAGAGAGCACAAACCACCCTCTGAGTCACTCTTTTCCAAGCCCACGTGGACTGCAAAGAGGCAAAAAGGAAAACAAAACACTTCCGACAGCAAATTTTTCCAAGCCTGAAGTCATTTCTAAGTGCAAAAAGTCACCCCTGTTTGCCCAGCCCCATCACAGGGAGGTGCTGGGATGCAGGAAAAGCTGGAAGTTAAAATCTTAATAATTAATTCTGGCAAGGCAGAGGTGCCTGGAGTGTTTATGGTCGGGAAAGGTGGGAGCTCAGCCCCAATCCCAGAGGGTGGAAGGGCTGTCCCAGTCCTGGCGGCCAAAGAAACCACTCTGTCAGGCTCCCACACTGAAAAACAGAGGAAAAGGAAACTTTCCAGTGCTGCCCTGTGGTGAGAGTGCAGTTTGGAGCTGGCTGGGCAGGCTCTGAAGGTGGGGGCTGTGGAGCCAGGCAAAATTCAGCCCCCCTGGAGCAGCCAGGCCCCTCCTGCTTGCTTGGGAAACAACACAAGTAGGATGCAGAAAGCACAGGAAGACTTTTCCAGAGGGAACAGAGGGAAAATCTCCTCCCATGAGGGCTCAGGAGGCTCAGACCCTCCAGGCATGAGGGGTTCAGGAGGAGGAGCTCTCCTGGTCCAGCACATGGATATTTCCCATTTCAGCCCATGCCTGGGGGCTGAGGGCTGTCAGACAGAGCCAGGCTCTCAGTTCTTTGCTTCTTTTCTGCCTCTGTCAGGGTTGGGATTGAAACCACTCGAGGTGGTAATTCATGTTCAGACTCAGATGTTTATTAGTTCTTATCTGTGTCACAGTCTCACAAAACCTGGGTCCTACAGCCCTTCACTCTAACAAACTGAAAAATGGAGCCCCATGTCTCTCTCTACATGCCTTTTTAACGATAAACTGTCCAATTAAGAAATTACACTTAAATTATTTTTACTTTTTACCCAATAATCAGCTACTTATGGCTCATAATGTGGACTTTTTTATCCAATTACACAAAACCACCCAAACCCATGGAGATGAAGGAGAAGGTAAAAAAATAGAAGGTGAAGAAGGACCAGCCTCTGCCCTAAAACCTCCATTTTGTTTTATAGATATTACTATATTCTAAACCCTTCAACTCAAAGTTTTCCACCCTGTGATATTCCACACTTCAATTCAAACTCCACACCCACAATCCCAGTTCTGTCATTCCATTCTGGAAGCTTCTCCACAGCCTCAGGTCAATGCAGTGTTCTCCTGGGGGTCAGTGCCTGGCAGCACAGAAAGGCTGAAATTCTCAGTGACCAGGGCTCCAACACCAGATCTCTGCTCAGATCCAGTCTGGCAGTCCCTGGGAGATTTTCCTTTGAAAAGGAGGAGTTTCTGCCAAGGCTGCAGGGTGCCAGTTTGTTTGGCAGCCTGCAGAGCTGTGTTGCTGTGCCAGCACAGGTGGAGGGGCTGGGCACAGTGCCCGTGTCACACCACAGCCACAACCACACAGGCTTAGCTCAAGGGCCCCAGGAGCAGCTGCTAAGCCAGGCTGAGGTGGTAAAAACCACCCCAGGGAGCAGGGAAGGTGAGGTGGGGTCACAGACAGAGGCCTGGCTGGGCAATGGGGATGTCTGCCTTCTTCTCCTGCTCATTTTCAGCACCACTGCAGGAATTCTGGTTGCCCTCTCTTACTTTGATGTCAAGATTGGCATTTCAAGGTCTCTGTGCCCCATAACCCCTACGGCTCTGACTGCAGGGGAGGTTGGGGTGGTGCTGTTGTTTTGTGTTCTCAGAGCCAGCAGCTCCCTCTAGCAGCTGCAGATGTCCTGAGGAACCCCCAGGGAGAAAATTAAATAAGATTTTCCTCACAGCCATTGTCACCCTAAGGCTCCTTCTGCCTCCTTTTGAAGAGACCTCATTGCTGGGTCTGCTCCTGGAAGGATCCAGGTTAAAATAACCCTCCAAAGCTCAGAGCTGGACTCTGCAAAATTGGGATTCCCTCTGCCCAGTGAGGATGAAAGGATTTGGGATACTCCAGATCCAGAGCCACAGTCGGGGTGTCCTGAAGGGCTCTTTGGGCCAGGCTGTTCCTCTCCATCACCTGCAGAGGAAAAAATTGCATTCCAAAAACTGCCGTGCCAAGGCTCTGTAGGCTGCAGTGTTTGGGGAATTTCCCAGGATCATGCGGGCTGGGCAGAGCCTCGAGATTCCAATTTTTGGAATGCCGTGGCAGGACACTGACCCTCCACCTGCCCTGCTCTCGGGCTGGCATTGCTGGGTGTCCAGATCCCTTTGCAGGCTGCCACTCCCATGTGTGTCCTTCTGTGTGTATTACCAATGTCGAGAACGGGATGAGCCTTGGCTTGTCTGGGCCCTGCAGCTGGACCAAATAGAGGCAACTGTGGTGTTTCAGCCCAGAGACACTTTTGGCAAGCTGGATGTTGCACCTGGACACGTGGAGCCAAGTCCAGGCATGCCAGAGCTCAGGTGGCAGCAGGATGGAGCTTCCCTCACAGAGGTTCTGCTCCTCAGGTTTCCTGCTGTTGGAGAAGCTTTTAAGGCGACAGTGAAGGAAAGGAGTCGGTTCTGATGGAAGGTTTAATCCAGAGTTTTTATTCTGGCCTGCAGGCCTCTGAATCCAGCAACCCCTCCAGCAGAACTCCCAGCCCTCGTGGTTCCCCTCTTTTTTACCTGGGGGAGAGGGGAGGGGAAGGGTTAGGGAGCCACCAAGGTATGGAGAAGAAGTCTCAGGGGACAAAGGACACCTGGATGGCCCAGTGCCCTCCGGGGGTGGAAGGCATCTTTTGAATCTGCCCAATCCCTCGATGCCCTTCTGGAATTCCAGGAGTGACAGACAGTGCTGGCAGGGGTCAGGGTGGGGAAAGGAGGAGGCATGGACACACCTGGGAGGGAATCTTCAAGGGGGAAACCCGAGATAAACCATGAAATCACACCGCAACATCCTTTCCTCCCCAGAGGAATTCCTCTCCAGCTTGGATCACTATGAGATCGCCTTCCCCATCCAAGTGGACCAGAACGGGGATTTCCTCACCTTCGACATGCGCCGGCAGCTGAGGCCGCGGCCGCGGCGCTCGCTGCCCTACGAGCCCTCGGAGCAGCAGGTCTTCTACAAAGTCTCTGCCCACCACACGCAGTTCCTGCTCAACCTCACCCTGCACTCCAACCTGCTGGCCGAGCACTTCACCGTGGAGTACTGGAAGCGGGACGGGGTGGACTGGCAGCACGACTTCCACGAGGACTGCCACTACGCCGGCCACCTGCAGGACCAGCACCTCAGCTCCAAGGTGGCCATCAGCAACTGCAACGGGCTGGTGAGTCTGCCTGGGCCAGGGCACTGCCGGCAGCTCTGACCCGCAGCAGCTGCAGCCCTGCGCTGGGAACAGCTTGGGCTTGTGGCAAG